GAAGAAAGAATAGGTCTAAAACTCCTCAGCAATTGGTCCTGGATGAGTCCCTCTGTGTTAAAGTTCTTGTGTTTTGGTTTTGTTTTGTGGGGATGGGGATAGAACTCAGGGCTTTATGCATGCTAGGCAATTGCTTTACCACAGCCCCAGATCTAAAAACCTTAAAGTTGCAGGGCCTCAGCAGTTTGACATTGAAGTGCCTAAAGGCGGATTAGGGAATGCAGGAGTTCAAACAGTTTTATAAAGGAGGAAGCCAAGAATCAGAAAGTTGAAGTAATTTGCTCTAGGCCCCACAGATGTCTCCAAAGTCTATCTTTTTATACCACAAGCTATTTGCTGGAAGCCCTTGAGGACAGATGTCTTCACTAGCCCTTACTCTGAGCTCAACTCTTCCCTTCCAGACCCTTTAATAACATCACCTCTTCTCTGGGAGCTGCCCTGACTGCCTTCATCTCCTTTCCTGAAAATTGGTGTCTCAGCAGAAGTTAAGTGAAGCCTTGTTCAAATGCCCTAGGGGTGTGCTGTTGGGAGGGGCACAGCCCACTGTGATGCAGAACTCCATGCTCACTCGTTCATTCACTCGTATTCATCAATTGGGTGAGTTTGGGTTTTCTTCCAGGTGAGGGGTGGGAAGTAGTACCTGCCAGGTGACATGGCACCTGGGAGTCAGGGGACTTGGATTGGAGTTCTGGTTTTGCCATCAGCTTTCTGTACGGCCCTGGTCTGATGTGTCTCTTCCCCAATCCTGGCCTTGATTTCCTGCTCTGCAAAATGAAAGGTTGGAATGAGAGAGGGCAAGTCAGTTTAGCTCATCAGCTGGTGCTGGCGGAGTGTGTTGAAAGGGAAGTTGAGGTTCAATCTGATGTCTACGGAAGAGATGGCTTAGTGATGGCTGCTGTGAAGAGGATGGGTAGGGGTCATAGGTTAGCCCCTTCCAGCCTAACAATCCAGCTTCCTAAAATGGATTCCTTTGCCTTTCCTGTTGAAAGGGTGGGTAGCTGGGTTCATCTTAAGCTTAGGTACCTCACTGAGTGTCAGAAAGGCTTATTAGCTGGTTAGATACATGATTAAAGGGAACCAAGTGGTCCCCAGGGTTGGGTGGATGCTGTCAGGGCCCTGAGACTTGCTGTTTTTAGGACTGAGGGAAGGTTGGAGAGCCCTCAGTGTGGGGAGATCCCAGGCAGAGGCCTGATGTTGAGAGCTGGAAGAAAACACCACGCTTATTCCTGGGGAGCTTGTGTGATGTCTCCTGAAATTTCAGGGGAAGGGCAGTAGTTCCTCCTCCCTGGAGGACAAATCAGAGCTGAGTTCCCTGGGCTGCAGGAGTGAATGGCAGTGACCAGGGAGAACTTCAGAAGGAGATCTGTGGCTCAGTGAGATCGTGGGAAGGATGTCTTGCCTGAGGTTTGATGAACTAAGCTGGGGCAGGGACAGGCCTGCTCAGAAGCAGAGGAATTGTTGCAGTGACTTTTGTGGAAAGGATGTAGTTCATTTAGTAATCAGTAGAACTGTCTGAATGTGAAATGCTGTATTGTGTCCTGCTGGCCCCTCATCACACTGCCCTCATCTCTGCCTCCTTCCCCTTTCCATCCCTTTGGTCTGATGGCTCTGGGTTTGCTATGGAGTGGATTTCCTTCCTTATAGGGGCCAGGTGTCCATCTCTGTCTTTCTCTGGCGTACCCTTCCTGAGCTAGAGTGACTGCCAGAGAAGCTAGAACTCCGGTTCTGAGCCCTCCACTGCAGCACACATTTATAAATTCAGTTCTCCTAGTCAAAAGGACTTTTCCAGAGCACTTAATCTGACCCTTTATTTAACACAGATGAGTAAGCTAAGGAACAGAGAAGTCCGTACAAGGAATCTCTCCACTTCTTAATCCATGTCATGATTTATAACGGTTGCTAAACAGAGGGTCAGGCCCTAGGACCTTGGTCTAGTGTTTGGATCTGGCTCCTCTGCCCACCTTGGGGAGTGGCCTGCAGGCTGCACACCCCCAGACATTCATCAGCTCTCCAGTTCTCCTGGGTGGTTAAGGATGAGAAAACGGTTCTGTATGGTGCAGAGTCCTGGATGTCAGGCCATCTGTTTGTAGGTTCCATTCATTATTCATAAGGAAACATGAACTCCCATAGTTGGCAGGGTCAGGATTTCTGTCCTTTACCTCTTCCTTTCTCACCCTGGGGTGTGGCTCACCAGGGAAGTGCTTGTTTCTCCAGATATGGTCTGAGGGGTGGGGATGCCCCTTAGCTGCTTATGCCAGCTGAGAGAATATGGGACAGAGAGGGGGTTTTCTTATCATAGGCACTTTTCTTGCAGTTTTCTCAAAGACCTTAGAGACCCAGGGCAGAGCCAGAGCTTGAGGAATGGATGCACATCTTTGGATGAGCTCTGAGTTGAAGGGACAGGGGCTGCTGAGCATGTCGTCTCTTTGTGGAAACAGGAAATGTGCATTTGAGCCCAAGCCTTGCCACTTCCTTTCTGAGTAGGATGGGCAACTCCTTTACTTCTCTGAGACTCAATTTTTTCATCTGTCATGTAGAGATAACTATGCACCTTGCAGAAATGTTAGAATGAGCAAATTAGACTTAGGCCCTGGCAGATTCACAATATCAGATAAGCCCTGTCCCACCTTCCACCAAAAGACCATGCCGATGCCCAAAAAAACACACAAACTGGCACTAGAGCTGGAAACTAGAGATCATCACAGGCCAAAGTCCAGGGGGACTTTCCATTAGCTACAAGGTTGATGGGGGATGGAGTAATACAATCCGGGTCTTTGCACACATCTCTGGGTGAGTGAGAACAGTCCAGACAGCCACAAAGAAGGCAAAACAAGGCGTTGACTCATCCCCTCTGTTGGTCCTAATTCACCAAGCTGGCAGGAGCCATGCTGACTGGGAGACCAGGTGACCGTTCTCCCCTGTCTGGGGACTATCTTTCTCATCAGCCAGAGTGGTGCGTTCATTCTCCCACCCCCATTTTCGTCCCCTTTCTATGTCCTTTTGGAAAGTCAAATTCCCTCAGGGTCACAGGTCTGAGGGCATAAGGGTCATGAAGAATGCCCTGAACCCTGGGATGTGCCTCTGCCCAGGAAGAGAACTGTGGGCTGGGACAGAGCCAGGAAAGTGCTGGGTGCAGAGCTTGGCTTCCCTGTATTCTGCTGGAGCAGAGGAGCAGACTGCAGCGCTAGGCTTTGCAACTGAGTTAGAGGCTGACAGCTGGAGACCCCCTGCTCTGTATGAAATGGGCCGCCAACACACGATGCCCCTCCCTCAGAGTGGCTCTCAGAGCCTTCTGTCCTCTTCTTCTAGCACTTATCGTAACCACCATTAAATATTTAATTGCATAATTAGTTATTTACTGTCTATTTCCCCTCCTGGACTGGAGGCCTTGGGAGGGTAGGACCAAGTTGGCTTGGCTTACTGCTGTACTCTTGGCACTCAGCATTGGCCTTGAAATTTTAGGAAATTAAATATTTGTTGAATACAGCTAATGAGAAGAGTAAATTTCTGTACTTTGGAAAGGAATTTGGCAATATGGTCCAAGAATCCAAAAACCATTTATGCCCTTAGTATCAGGCAGGATGCTTTTGGATGTAGCAGAGCGCTCTGATTCAAACTGGCTTAAGCAATGGAAAATGTATTATTACTTAGAACTGGAAGGCCAGAGAAAGGCAGGCTCCAGTGTGGCCTGTTGACCTTTAGGTCTGTGTGCTGTGTTACCCTCCAGAGTACTGGTTTCAGACTCTGACTGGGCCCACTGTGGGCGGGGGGCAGAGAGAGAGAAAAAGAGACACCAAACCCCCACCTCTCTTGTAAGCATGGAATCCAAATCTCCCTTTAAGTTGAATTGGGCCAACTTAGTCATATGCCCACCTTGGATGAGTGAGAGTCACCAAGGAGTACGCCATTCACTAAAGTCCCGAAACTAATCAGGATCTGCCTCTAAAACAAGGACAGGGTGGGACCTGGATAAAACCACTACTCTGCCAGGATGCAGGAAGTGGGGCAGCACATGGGGGGAAGCTACCAGCCATTCCCACACCCTCCCACCCAGCCCGTCCATTTCTAGGAGTCAATCCCCAGGACATCAGCAGACTAAACCAGTGCAGAAAGATGTTTATTTCAGTGTTTATTTAAAAGAGAGGCAAGAGAAACTTGGACCTGATTCAAGAGGTAGCTGTATTGAAATATTTAAGTCAATTATACTACCTCTATACAACAGACTATTATGGTGGCATTAAAACCTTTATACAAAGTGTTAATGACATTGGGAAATACTTAGGATATAATGTTAGATGAACAATACTAGGATATAAATTGTATTTACAGTATGAGTCCAATTATTTTGGTACGTGCACAGAAAGGACACTGGAAGGAACTGGGTTAAAACACTGGTGGTGGTTGCCTCTCGGAGTGATTTGGGCCTGCTGTTTCATGCTTTTCTGAACCATCCCCTTCACCCAGGAGGACCCCTTCCACTGGCTGTGTGGGCAGAGCCTGGTTTGTTTTCCCTGTGCTTATTATTTGCTATGGAAGTAATCAACCCTAAGCTCATGAGGATTCTCTCTCTGCTGTGACTGTTCCTGGCACTTTACCTGTGCTATCTCATTTAGTTCTTATGGCGGTCCTATAAGGTACAGGCTTCTATTTCTTATTTTGCTAAAGTGTCTTCTGAGATCCCAAGGTATTCGGTCACAGGGTCACACAGCTAGTGCCTGGAGGCCTTTGGAATTCAAGCCCAGGCCATCTGACTCTGTAGCCTTAGTCTTCACTGCAAAACCAGGCCACCTGCCATTTCTTCATAGCCACACACTAACAAGAATAGTCCTGTTTGTTGAGCCAGACCCTGTACACGTCCTTGATATTTATTTGTTAATTTAATACTTACAGCCTCAGAGAGGCTAAGTGACTTGCCCAGGGTCCACAGCTGGGAAGTAGTGGGACTGCTGTAGAGTTACTGGGGTCTGATGTGAAATTTCTTTGTCTCCCTCCCACTTCAGGGTTGCCTGAAGATCTCCTGTGCTTGGGATCATGTTTAACGGGGAGCCAGGTCCAGCCTCGGCTGGAGCCTCCAGGAATGTGGTGCGGAGCTCCAGTATTAGTGGTGAAATCTGTGGATCCCAGCAACCTGGGGGTGGGACCGGGACCACCACTGCCAAGAAGCGGCGGAGCAGCCTTGGTGCCAAGATGGTGGCCATCGTGGGCCTGACCCAGTGGAGCAAGAGCACACTCCAGCTCCCCCAGCCAGGTGAGGGGCCCAGGGCACTGAGGGGCAGGGGTGGGTCACTTTGCCCTGCGTACCCTGGTATTTAACTGTCGCATGTGCTTGACCACACCCCACACTTTGTATGGTACTTCCCACATACTAGGTACTTTTCTGGGCCGAGGAGGTATGCCGATTCCTGTCATCCTCAGCCTCACCAGGCATGCACAGAAGCACAGGAAAGGCTAGGCACCTGTCCCAGATTACACAGTGGGGAAACAGTGGAGCCTGGGTTCAAACATGCGTAGTTGGGCTTCCTACTTCATGCCCTGAATTTTTACAGTGTGCTGGCTCTGCACAGACTTATACATTAATCAGTAATTATTTATGAGATTCTCCTTTGTTCCTGGCACCATGGTCAGGACACCACGATTTTCCAGACATACGCATCCACAAGATTCAGTCTCATCTGTCATCTCTGAGTTTCCTAAGTATAACAGCCACATGAATATAGTTACAAAGAGAAACAAGTAGATGTTACAAAGAGATGTTACATCACACCTAGATATTACAAAGAGAAAGGAGAGAAACAGATTCATGGTTTGTACAATCACATAGAGTGCCCAGGTGTTCAGTTGAGCCAGTCCTATCACCAGGAAAGCATGTCACAATCATTCTCATTCAGACTCTGCATGGCAACGAATAAAACCAACCAGAACCACAGATACACATACTCAGATCACAGAAACATGTCATACTTGGGTACGCACTTGCCTGACAGAGCCACGTTCACACACCTTAACAGTCGCATCCTCATGAAAACGAACGCTTTCTCGGTCTGCACTTATACAATCCCAGATATACTCAGACTGGTAGGAGACCCACCTTGTTGCACACAGCCACACATGGACCCCATGTCACAAAGGAGCGAGCCCTCTCCACCAAGACCCCCTCACTTTGCGGCATCAGCCCAGACACCAGCTGGTTTTGTTTTAAAATCTCTTCCTGCTTATTTTGCTCAGAGTAACAACTTCCCCGAGAAACCTTCAAATAGGCAGCTGGATGGGGGTGGTGGGGGGTGGGGTTGCTGGAGGATCAGGGAGAATGCTCATCAAGACTCCCAGTTGGGGCTGGGGGTGGGGGACTTTTCCAGGCCTTAAAATAGATTCTTACAAGGCCCTTAACAGGAGCATGCGGGATGGTCTTTTCCAGCAATCACGCTGTGATGTGGTTTCTGGCACAGGGAGAGGCTGGATGGGGAAGGGGCTTGAGGTTATTAGTGCCTTAGGGTGAGCAGTGCCGGCCTGAGACTAGGTAGTAAGGGAGGTGGGGATTTGGGGATCCCGAACTTGGGATAGGACAAGGAGGACAGGGATAGTGCCAAGGGGTGGGATTAGGGCCAGGGTATTAAGATTAGGACGTCACAGAGGTGTTAGACCCCAGGGTCTGGCTTTGGCAGACCACGCCCAAGAATCTAGTCTCAGGCCCAAAGGTTTCTCTTGTCCAGAGTGATTGGGAGGGACAGTCTCCCAAGGCCAAGTCAGGGGCCTGAGTCCCTGGGAGATATTGCAGTGATCTGCATAGACTTTACAGACGGCAGGCAGGGATGGGGCAGATGCCAGGAAGACCTTTTGCCTTGGGAGGAGATGAATGGCCATGGGGGCTTCTGGATCCCTGTCTCCTTGGTATGTAAGGGCACTACTAAAGGCCGGGGGCTGGGACCAGGAGAATTGCCCAGATGCCCTTCTAACTGAAGTCCCTATGAGTCATCTAATTGCTGAATGTCAGAGCAGGAAGGGCCCCTCGAGGTCATCTAGTTCATTGTACTCATTTATGACAAACATTCACAGCCTGGGGAGAAGGCATTTTCCTGGAGAATGATCTCAGGTGGCTTCTGAAGCCACACCCTGTCATTTACTAGGTGATCCATCTGGGCAAGTTACTGTTTCTCTCTGAGCCTGCTTCTTGTTTGTAGAATGAGGACAATAATACATGCCTTGCAGAGGTGTCCAGAGTTAAATGAGATAATGAATGGGAAGGTGGCCAGCCTTGTGCTTGCCACATGGGAGACACTCAGTGAAATTGGTGCTGTTATTGTTACACTTGGGCACAGTAGAGTCAAAAGAGAAGTAAGGCCTCTAGCCTCCACACCTTTCCCATCTTTATTCCTTTTCCCAGTTAAAATGTTTCTTTCTTTTTCTCCAAGCCTCAAGGATCCCAGCTTGGGGCCTCCTCCTGGTTGGAAAAGTCTGGCATGAGAGGGCTGTATGGTGCCAGTTCACTGTGGGTGTTGGCCCTGGAATTGTTGTTCTGGGAAAACTTCCCATAGGGGTACCCCTTGCTGCCCCCCACTGCCCCAATATGGGATAGCTCAGTTCCTTGCAGAGCTGGGCTGTGTGAAGTTGGTAGGAATTCCTCGTCTGGACCCAACCTTCTGGGCTCTGGGTCTGCCCTTCCCAGTGGCCCCCTTTATCCTAGTTTATCTGTACCCTGCTTCAGCCAGAGCCCTGCCCATCCCTTTTTGTTTCAAAGCCTCTGCCCTAGTTCAGACCTCATAATATCTAGCTTGAGTGTTGTACCAACCTCCTTCCTGGTTCCCCTGCCACCCCCTACCAGTTTATTCATTATGTTGCCCTAGAGTGGACTTTCAAAAACTCACCCTGGTGCTTTAGAGGGCTAGTCCTGACTCTGTAACTCCCCATGGGACCTTTGGAAAGTCACTTTCCCACTGAGTTTCAGTTTTTTCTTCTGTAAAATGGAGCTAAAAAAATGCTCCCTCCCAATTTCCTTCTAGATCTATAATTCTGTAAGTTGTGGGAGCAATGAGAGAGGTGAGTTCATGGCTTTTGGGTCCCAGGGCACAGGTGGAATCTGGTCTGGTATTAGGCTAGCTCCACACAGGGTCATCCAGGGCTGTTTCAGCCCCTGTCCAAATGGAGCTTCTCTTTTCAGTACCAAGGACAGTGGCTTTTCTCTGCTGGGCTCTCTCTAGGCTCTGGGTCAGAAATCTCAGGATCATTCCAGAAGATGTCCCTAATGGTGTATTGCTGCAGGTTGTTACTGCCCCTCTCTTGTATGTGACAGGACAGATGGAATGGTTCCTGAAGTTTTTCAGTATCTGGGGACTACAGAATTATTGTAAGCAATTTGGCTTGGTGCTCTAGAGAGAAGCTACATGAAGTTATTCCCTGGATTGATGGGGTTGAAACTGCACAGGGATGAAGCCAGTAAAGGACTTTTCCCCTAAGGCTGCAAGACCTTTCTCCTCCCTCTGAAGACATGGAACCTTTCCTCTGATGAGTTACATTACACATAGATGGGACATTGGGAGGGGAGAGAGATGCAACATACCAGCTGACTGGGAGTCTGGGGACCTGGCATTTAGTCCCAGTTCTTTTGACACCTGGACCTCAAGTTCCCTATTTGAGAAATGGTCGAGGGGGCTAGCAAACTATTTCTTAACCTCTTCAGGGTCCTACAACTCCCCCATTCAAGGATTCACATTGGACTGGGCAAGTCTTAGAAGTGAAATTCACATCCAAATGGGTCAGAGCTTTCCCAAGCTCTAAAAGAGTGAATGTTGAGGAGGTGAGGATGTGAGGGGGAGGAAGGGTGACTTGCAGCCCTCAGAGCCCATCTGTCTCCTAACTGGGTTAGAGGGGATGTGGCAGTTAGGAGCCAAGGACAGGGAGAATCCTCCTACACTCCCCATTTTTGCCCAGCCTTCTGTGTGTGTGGCAGGTCACACACCGTGTGTGGATGGGCACTGTTGTGTGTGATATAGTGGACTGGTTCAACTCCAGGTATTTGAGAGTTCACATCAAAACATCATATGTATGTGATCTAACTACATTTGATAGAGCATGTCATGTGTACATATGGCCAAGACCTGGTGGGACCATTTGTGACCATGCGAATTTGTACTAACATAATTGACCTTGTATGTGAGATAACTGTATTCATATATGTAATCGTCAACTTTGTATATGTCTGCTTATGATCGTCTATGTGAAAGAAATAGTGTAAGCTGAGATGTGTATGTGTGTGCGTGAGACAGACACACTTATCAGTGATCTCACTGATCCTAGATGTGCTAGATATTCCCATGTCCTAGATGCTGGCCTGATTTTACAGGAGTCATTCCCCTTTACTTCCCAGCCCTGTTCCCATCACCTCCCCTCCACTACCATCCCATCCACTGGTGATACTAGCCCTCTCAACCTTCCCTCCCACAGTGGAGACTTCTTGAAAGATAAATAGAGCAAAGAAAGAGAAATAAAGTCCTCCTTCTCCCAGGCTGGGGTCGGGAACATTCCTTCCCCAATCCACAACTGGATGGGAGTAGGAGAAAAGACTGCTAGGGTAATCAGATCCCCCATCTCCACTGTTTTCAGGGGCTGTGTCTCCTACCCATGTCTCAGGTCTCCCCCATCTCTGTAGAGAAATCCACTCTTAATTTGCTTAGGCATCTAACCAGTGACAGCAGATATCTCCTTTGATATAGTTCCCATCCAAGCATCACTTCCTCCCTATAAAATTCCTCTGGCCAGCAAGCTTCTGCATGCGAAATTCCTACAAAACCCCAATCTGTCCCCACCTCACTTCCCAAGAGGAGAGTGAATCTGAAGGGACCACACTGAATGCTGAAGAGGTTGCTATGGAAACCCAGGTAGGATGGTACACTGCTAGAAGGAGGAGAGTGCCCCTTTGCCCCGGTCAGGTGGAGAACGGGTGCTGGGCAGGGCATGCCCTGTATAGAATACAGAGGCACAAGGCAGGCTTGCACTGCACAGCTTCATGGGCTCTTCTACAGACCTTTCCTTTAAAGTCAAAGTCAATTCAGGTCAAGTTAGCAGTCCCTCTCAAAGTCTTGCTTCCCCAAGGGCCTTACCAGCTTGCCACCCATGTCCCTCTCCACATTTGGACCTACCTTCAGAAGGGAAGTTTGTTTGAGAGTGGTCATGCTCCCTTTGTTTTTTGTTTTTTTAATAGGGCCTATGAGGGTATCAGAGAAATAGGTTGTGTGGGGTCTGGGTGTGATGGGGTCCCTGGGGGATCTGGAAGAAGGAAAGTAAATCTTGTAAGACATACTTTCCAGAAGAGTCGGGGGAGAAGGAGAGGGGAGAAGAACATGAGTTTGGGGGCAAGGGATGAAGTAGAGTGCGCACTTGGCATCAGGGGAGCCTGGTAGGAGGAGCTCTGCCTCAAGCCCCCTCTCCACCATCTTGACCCTCTAGCCATCTTTCTAGTCCACTTTGTCTGTGTCACTGCCCCTGGCAGGGCAGGTGTCAGGCTGTAGACCAGTTCTGGGGGTAGCTCAGTCATGTCCCCACTCCAGTCAGCTCTGCTTGCGTGCCCCTTCCCAGAGGGGAACTGGCCACACTGTCCAAGAAGCTTTAGGTTGTTTCAAACTGATTTCCTCTCTCTCCTTTGGGGTGGGGTTCTCAGAAGGGGCCACCAAGAAGCTGCGCAGCAACATCCGACGGAGCACAGAGACCGGCATTGCTGTGGAGATGCGAAGTCGCGTCACACGCCAGGGCAGCCGGGAGTCCACTGATGGGAGCACCAATAGCAACAGCTCCGATGGCACGTATGTGCACCCCTGCTCAGCCCATTCTGTCTCCTCCTCCTCAACTTGGGTCACACAACCAGCAGGCAGGGCAGGAAGACCTTCCTGTGTGGTTTCCAGCCAAGATGTCTGGGTTCCTCTATGCCTCCGACTCCCTTGTCCCTTTCTCAGGACATCCATTGTCTGGCCCCTAGGTATTACTATTGCTCCACTGGAGTGCCCTAGAGCCCAGGAGCAGTGAATTCCTTCTGTGTGTTTCAGAAAGGGACCTGTGCCTCCTGCCTCCTACTGCTTCCATGCCTCCCTACTCAGAAGGAGAGGGGTGGAAAGGAAAATGTGATCCTAAATTACCTTTAGCTCTAAAACGATTGTTATGGCTCAGATGAGTGGAGTCCTCTCAAGTACACTTTCTTGGAGCTTAGGAAAAGAGATTGGACTAGATCCGTGTTTTTTTAAATTGTCAGTAGTGACTCATAGGCAAGGCATAAAATCACCACCATGGGTCAGAACCAGCATTAGAAAAAGAAATCGAGAACTCAAGTATATCCTAGTAGTGAGGATGAATTACCTTGGGTCCTTTTGTTTCAGTTTTACACGTATAGATATACTTTGGTCTGTAGCAGATCATGATGGTAAATCCTTTTCTTACATTTGGGTTGCAGTAAAACATTTGAAAGTCACTGGGTTAGATATTCCCTTAGATCTCTTCTAAATCTGTGAAACTATAGTTTATGACTAACACTCTCTGCTTCTGCTTCATTAACGCTATGTAATCTCCAGTCTCAGGATTCTGGGCTCCATTATTAATATTCAGTGATCATATCTCACTACTATACAGTCAACTCTCAGCATTTCTAGGGGATTGGTCCCAGGACCTCCACCGACAAAAAAATCCACGGATGCATAAGGCCCTTACATAAAATGGTGTAGTAGTTGCATATAACCTGCATACATCCTCCTGTTACTTAAATAATCTCTAGATTACTTTTAATACCCATGTATTAAAATGTGAATGCAATGGAAACAGTTGTTAGGCTGTATTGTTTAGAAAATAATGACAAGGAAAAAAGCCTGCACATGTTCAATACAGGCACATTTTTTTTTCAATAACGTTTTCAATCTGTGGTTGGTTGAATCCGTGGATGTGGAACTCATGGACACAGAGGGCCTTCCCTACCTACTTCCATGAATGAGAATAGCTGCTACATTTAACTTCCCATGCGCAGATCACCACTGGGTACCTTAGATCAGTGAGTCCTGCCTTGGAATCTACCTACTGTAATCAGCCCAGGAATGGGGTGATCATTTAACCATCCCAAGGAACATGGGAACTATCATTATCTCTGTCTATGAGTAAGGAAACTGAGGCAAGGAGGAGGGGAGGAACCTTGCTCAAGGTCACGGCTGTTAAGTGGTCATGGCTGTTAAGTATTAAATGGTGTTAATTAGGGCTATTTGACTCTATAACCTTTATTCAAACCTCTACTCTAAGGTAGAGGATAACTTACTCTATAATAAGCTCCCAAAAGTTTGTGACCTTGAGAGGCTACATTTCTTTAATCCCTCAGATCCTGTTGTAATAAGAAGGTGATACTAGGTGATTGCTGATCATGATCAATAAAAAGTGGGTGCCATGAAGCCCCTTCCTGGGGGAGTAGAGGCTCCATGTAGTAGAGGAGACATAGCCTCTCTCTGATGAGCATATACCTCCCTGCCTGTCACTGGCCAGTTGGGACTCTAGGCCAACCTGTCCAGCAGGGATTCTTTGCTGCATAGCCTTTTCTCTCTCTAGCCAAGAGGTCTTATACTTTGGTCCATTGTAGCCCCTGAGCAGGCCTGGGCCAACCCTTCCTTATCTGTCCTTTCTCTGCTGGCCACAACCTGGACATCCAGCTTAAGGACATGAAAAAATAGCACTTTCCCCTTGACAACAGCAGTAGCAGCAGCAACTCTAACTACCATTTGTTGTTTCCTGTTTGTCCTGAACTCTTCCCATACCCTCTGCCCAGCCTGCACTGTAGTCTATGAGTTGAGCATCATCTCTGTTTTGCAGGCAAGGCTTTCTTCTTGGAGCCTCTGTTTTCTCATCTGCAAAATTGGATAGTAGTTCCTATCAACAGATTGTAAGGATTAAAATGACACAGTATGCTGGGTGTGGTGGCCCACACCTATAATCCCAGTGGCTTGGGAGACTGAGGCAGGAGGACAATAAATTCACAGCCAGCCTCAGCAACTTGGTGATACCCTAAGCAACTTAGCAAGACTCTGTCTCAAAGTAAAAAATAACAAGGGCTGGGGATGTGGCTCAGTGGTTAAGTGCTCCTGGGTTCAATCCCTAGTACCAAAAAAAAAAGGAAGACACAGTAGTGCACTTAGAACATTTAGCGCCCCATTGGCACCTGGTCAGCTTTTAATCACCGGCAGTTTTTCTTGTTACTATTTCCAGGCCCCCCACCACCCTGGACCACCCACCATCTCTTGCCATTCATCTCAACCCTGTAATTGTGTTATTTTGGTCTCAGTTGCTGTTCAGGGCACCACCTTGCAGTTATTGACTAGGATTTTAAATTTATGGTCAAATCAAACCTCAGTTCTTAGAACTTGCTCTAGGCATTGAGATTTCTGGCCTGACATCCTTTGGTGAGGAACACAGGTGTCCAGCAGATACTGCATTTTAAGGGTCACCTCAGAAATCCCTGGAACTTGAAGACTGAAAACCATCATTATAAGATTTTAAATGTTGTCTCTTTAGTGACATCAAAGAATTTTTCTTCAATGTGCAGAAATGAACAGTTGTCTGCCTTTCCTGCAGGTTCATCTTCCCCACCACCCGGCTGGGAGCTGAAAGCCAGTTCAGTGACTTCCTGGATGGGCTGGGACCAGCCCAAATTGTGGGGCGACAGACGCTGGCAACACCCCCCATGGGTGAGTCTTCCTGAGGGCTGGGTGAGTGGGGAGTAGGTAATGGCAGAAAAGGCAGGGAGGGTGAGCCAGCAGTGGGGGTGGGGTCATGACAAGGTACAGGCAGCAGAACGGAGCCCTTCCTCTGGCTTTTGTGCCAATGAAGAGTCGGTGGAGCATTCATCAATTCTTCCCTCGTCAAAGACGGGAGGAATGGCAGCCTTTCTCTGCCTGCTGTCCCGCAGCACCTTTTGCAGCACGTCCCCTCCCTCACTTCACTCGCCCGTCACCTGAATGTAGCATTGGCTGTCCTGGAGTTGATTCACCAGTTCTCTGTGTGAACTTGGATGAGTCACTTCCCTTCTTTAAGCCTCAGTTTCCTCATTTGTAAAATGGAGATAATACGACCCACTTGAGTTCTGCAATCTCACACCAGCTGATTGAGCTCCTTTCTATTAGATGCTTTGCAGTGAGATCTTTTAATGTGCTTGTAGGAACTGAGCTGATTTGACTGTTTTCTTAACAGTGCCTGGCACCTAGAAGCTGTCTATTATTTTTCTCATCCCTCTTCCTTGCAGCAAGGAAGGACATTCTGAAGCCTATGCTTGGTCCTCTTAGCTGCAGTCTGGGTCATTTCGTGCACTCTGGGACTACTTCTCCCTCCCTCAGGCTATGTTGCTTTAAGCAGCTTCTCTCCAAACTGGCTTCTACAGAGGTGCTTCCTGCCTTCCCTCGTGTCCCCATCAGTCTGGCCTGATTGAGCATTATCTGACCCAGAAGCCCACGGTCCCTATCCAGATAGTACTCGACCTTTGACCCTCCTAGCAAAAGAGGAAGGCAACTGTGCACAACGGGTCTGGGATTCCATTCCAGGCCCAGGACTCTTGCCACAGCACTACCCTGTCTTCCTTGAAAGGGTCCATACTGAGAGAGAGAGAGAGAGAGAGAGAGAGAGAGAGAGAGAGAGAGAGAGAGAGAGAGAGAGCACGCGCACGTTCATGTATAATGGCAAAAATAAATAATAAGGGGGGCCATAGAGCCCCTTGGAAGAGGGGTCCATGGGGATCCTTAGAGGCAGCTCTCATCTGGCTCTTGCGTTGGATTGAACTAATTCCCACCATTTTCTGGCAGCCTCTTAAGGGCCTGCTTTCCCTCTCTCCTAGACCATAAATTGAGAAGTGGCAAAATGAGCCAACCACTTTCACAAGGCCAGTGTGCCATCACAGCCTTGCACATTTGTGTGTGGTGCCCCCTTGTGTCCAAAACTGGGAAAGCAGGTTTGCATTTCCTCTCCTTCATTTGGGAGTGAGATATAGCTAGGTGTGGAGAAAATGAATTCCCAAGACCCTCCTTTCCCCCATGAAGAGGTCAGGAATCACTGGAGGAAGATGAATTCTAGGATGCCTCCTGAAAGTAGTAAATCCCTGTCCTCTTTCGTATGCAAATATGGATAATTGCATAATGGCTCAGAGAATCTGTAAAGGGTGGCTGAACCAGAAGTCTGGCCCATTTAATTTTTCAGGATCAGGCTTATGATTATCTACTGCTTTGAAGGCTGTTCCACTTGTCTACTGCATAATTCTAAATCCATGGTGAACAAAGCTAAGAGTTCCTAGAAATCACGTAATGCTATGATTCCACACATGGGATCTGATTCTGTTGGACACAGGACCTGACCTTGTGAGCACTCAGCTCTCTGTGCTCCTCTGGCAGAGGGTTGAGCGGCCCCATTTCCAGGTAGTGCCTTGTATCCTGGGCCATCTCAGCTTAGCATTGCTTCCCACTTAACGCTCTTTCAGTATTTGATAAATTAATGGGGAGTGGCTGAGGGCTGCTGCAGGGGAAGATGAAGAAGAGAGCATACAGGCTTCCTGACACAGGAAGCTCTCTGTCCCTAAACTTGCCTATTCTGCTTAGTGAAACAGAAGCCTCCCAGTCAGCTACACGATGGGAATTTGGCAGCCAGTTGTTGTGATCCAAGCATGCCCCTTGAGGATCATGCCCCATCCCATGCCACAGGATCTAGCAAAGTGTTTCTCAGTCACTTGGAAGTGACTCAATTTCAGTTTTTGGTACTGGGGATTGAACCCAGGGTACTTTACCACTGAACTACATCTTTAGTCTTTTTTATATTGAGACAGGGGCTCACTAAGTTGCTGAGGCTGAATTTGCAATCCTCCTGCTTCAGTCTCCTGAATCACTGGAATTACAGGCATGTACCATCTCACCCAGCATTTTAAAGTGATCTCTAACTGCATGCCTGTAATCCCAGTGACTTAGGGATGAGGGAAAGAATGATATAGGCTGAGGCAGGAGGATTGCAAATTCAAGGCCAACCTTGGCAACTTAGTGAGATATAGCTCAGTGGTATAGCACTGGGTTGGATCCTCAGTACCAAAAAATAAAATTTAAAAATATAAAGTGATCTCTGAGAACAAACACTTGCAGCTTGCTCCATCATGTTCCTTTCTGATGCTGCTACAGTATTCCCTGCAGACTGATATGCTCACCAGAAGCTGGCTGCCCCTCAATCCCTGGTCTGACTCTGCCTGGATTGTCCCTCTTTTCCCTTGCAGGAGATGTGCACATTGCCATCATGGACCGGGGTGGCCAGCTGGAGGTGGAAGTGATTGAGGCTCGAGGCCTGACCCCCAAACCAGGCTCCAAATCTCTCCCAGGTGAGGCTGAGCAGCTAGGAGAGGGATTTGGGTAATGGAGGCCCTAGAAGGGAGGGGTATGTAGCTGAACTGTATGTAGTCCATCCTTAGCTCCCACTGGCCTACATCAGTGTTCTTGACTGGAGTCACACCTTCCCTGGAAGGCCAGTGAGTGAGGTGGGGGCAGGAGAGGATGGAGGGGTCAGCCTCTTCCTTTTGCAGTGCACAATCTATTTACCTTGCTCACCTCCAGGGTCCCCTGGAGGTTGGGGATGGGGTGGGCCATAGTTGTCTCTCTTGGACTATATCATTCTTTCCCTCATCCCTCAGCTACCTATATCAAGGCTTATCTGCTTGAGAATGGGGCCTGCTTGGCCAAGAAGAAGACAAAAGTGGCTAAGAAGACCTGTGATCCCCTGTACCAGCAGGCTCTGCTTTTTGATGAGGGGCCCCAGGGCAAGGTGCTGCAGGTGAGTATTAAGGGTGAGTGGGCCAGGGTAAACTCAAAAACTGGAAATCATAACGAGGTTCTTCAGTGATGATTCATCCTATGTCAAGCATTGTACCAGGTGCATTGCTTATATTGTCCATTTATTTTCACAACCCCAGTGAGGTGTCCTTGCCCCCAGTTGAATCAGAAGGAAACCAAGACTTCAAGGTAGATAAGATGCTCCCTAGCTTGCACAGCTGGCAGGGAGAAGCAGGATTCATTTCCATACTGCCTCCTTCTGTTACCTGGTGCTGATGTTCATTGTGCATCAGCTGAGGGCGGGACTTTCCAGATATGATCTCATGTCATCCTCGGGACCACCCCATGAAGTAGATGTGATTTCCTCCATTTTACAAATGAGGAAACAGTCTTGGGTACATGAAGTGACTTGATTGAGGTTTCAGTGAGTGATTAGCAGAGCTGAGGTCAAGTTTAGGTGGCTCTTATCCCAACTCTTTGAGGGTGACAAAGCCCTTTCATGCTCTGTGTGTTATTGGCCTTCACAGCAGTACTGCAAGGGAAGGCTCATCAGGTCCCCTCCATAGACAAAGACACTGAGCTCATGTGGGCCTTCAGCACTGTGGTGGGTCTGTCTCTGAGTGTGGTTCTAGGTTCAAATTCCAGCTGACACTCACTAGCTATGGGTTGTATATCGTGGAGATTGAAAGAAGGCACCTACACAGCCTAACATTGCACCTGGCACCTAGACAGCTACTTGCTAAGTTTTAATGGTGATGGTGGCAGTTGGTCTTGCCTGAGCAAGAGAAGAGGTTAGAGTCAGGCCTGTCTGGGCTATGTGTCTTCTTGTTAGTCAGCTTTCTGTTTGTAGCAAAATACCTGAGATAATCAACTCAAAAAGAGGAAAGGTTTATTTTGGCTCAGTTTTTGATAGTTCAGTCTGTGCTTAGTTTCCCCCACTGCTTCTGGGCCTGTCAAGAGGTAGCATGTGGTGGCAGGAGTGAGCAATGAAAAAAACTGCTTTTCTCCTGCAGCTGGGAAATGACAAGAGAGGAGAAGAGACCTGCACCATACTATCCCCCTCCAGGGTACACCTTCAAAATCTGAAACCATTGTTGCCACCATCTCCCACTAGTGCCAAGCTAGGGGCTAAGCCGATAACACCTGGGCCTTTGGGAACATTTATCCACACCATAGAGGGCTGCTCCTCTGAGCTGGGGTGTTTCTATGACAAGGACCCTTGAGTTGCCAAACTTAAAAACCACAGAACTGTAGGGTTCTGGGGCAGGGGGCATAATATCATGTGTCTGTTTAAAAACACAAGTTTGAATATCACTCAGCTAATCTGTTCCCACTACCAAAGTTACAAATAGAAACACTGAGGTACACGAGGGCCCAGGACAGACACAAGACCCACAGGGAGCCAGCAGCAGAACTGGAGGCACAATGGGGAAATTGTCGATTAGGATGCTTGGAGGCCCTGGAGTCAAACACACCCAGCTTCTAACCCCAGGTCTGCTATAAATGACTATATCTTTAGATTAGTTAAATCAGCTCAGAGCGTGGTTTCCTCTAAGTATAAATACTAATACACGCAGCACTGCTACCCATGTGGGTTGTTATAACAATTAAATGACACATGTAAAGTCCATAGGATCAAGTCTGGCACATCTTAAGTGCTCAGAAAGTTGTTGCCCAAAATCAATCTGGGTTCGGGCGCTCTCTGTCCCATCTGTACCCTGGCAAAACTTAGTTTCCTAGGCCCACTTCCCAGTCCTGGAGCTGAAGAAGAGTGGCTCGGCTCCTGATTCTTTCTCCCCTGCTGGCAGGTGATCGTCTGGGGAGACTATGGCCGCATGGATCACAAGTGCTTCATGGGTATGGCCCAGATCATGCTGGATGAACTGGACCTGAGCGCTGCGGTTACCGGCTGGTACAAACTCTTCCCCACCTCCTCCGTGGCAGATTCCACACTCGGATCCCTCACCAGGCGCCTGTCCCAGTCCTCCTTGGAGAGTGCCACCAGCCCTTCCTGCTCCTAAGAACCTTGCTCAGGACCAGAGGCTGGGTGGTGGTGTGAGAAGGGGGCCTGCTGGCCTCTACCTCCCCTGTACATAGTCTCTGTGTCTTTCTGGACCCCTTGCCCTGCTGCATGCCTGTTGGCTACTGGGCTTGTCCCAGCTGGCAGTGGAGGTGTGTGTGTGTGTGTGTGTGTGTGTGTGTGTCTATTTGTGTGTATGTATGTGTGACTACTTTTTATGTATTCATTTGTCTCGGTACAGTCAGTCCTGGTGACACATGGGCTGGAATCCATGTCTCTTTGTATCTTGTTGAAAAGAAACCCAAAGGAGTATTGTGTGGATGTGACTTGCCCTGAGGAATCTCTAGGGGTGGCCTATCCTGCCTCTCCCTGTCCCTGCGGCAGAGCCTGTGCCCCCCGCCCCTTGGTGGTCTCTGCTTGGTTCTGTCTTGTCTTTTGTTTCACCCTTTGCCTCTCCCAGCATTGCTGCTCTTTTTTGAGGAATGTAGCATCCACTGCAGCGGGCCACACTGGGCTCCTCTGGGAACCCCCCCGCCTCTGTCCCTCTCCCCACCTGAGCTGCTCCAGCAGCTCTCTCCACCAAACGCATCCTGCAGCACGTAGCATGCTCACTTAGTGCCCTGGCCAGAGCCCCAGGGAGGCAGAGGGTGCCTGGGGAATAGAGGGCTTTGAGATTGCTTTCCCCTGAGGCTAGAACCACCTGCTTCCTACCAGCTAGCATGAGGAGGTCTTCGCTCCTGGGTGCTGGCCAGGTCCCCTAGAGGGCAGAGCCAGGTGCTTCCCTCAGCATTTGTTCAAGGCCTTTTCTCCCTCCCAGCCACCTCCAACATGCCAAAGGAGCTCTCCCAGGGGCCCAGGAGGTCAGCCTCAGTGGCATGTCATCTGCCAAAGCAGACAGTCTCCCCACCCCCAGGCCCAGAGATTGGTCCTGTCCCACTCTGGGCTTGTCCTAGTGGGACCTGGCTTGTTAAGAGGTGCTGAGGGCGTGGCTGTTTGCTGGAATCAGGAGGGCTGAGGCGACTTGTTCTGAGCCACTGTTGGGAATACTGTCTGACCTTTGGGGATGAACTACATGAAGCTGACTACCTGGAGCTCTAGTCCTTGCTTATTTCCAGACCAGGGTCCCTGTCACACACACTTGGACTCTAGCCTCCTGGCTCTATGAGTAGCCTGGCTCTGGACTCTAATCTGCACAGTCACCAGCTCTGTACAAGCAATACTTAACCCCTCTTGGCCTCCCTGCTGTCTTGCACAATCCTGCTGCCCTCCAGGAAGTGGCCTGCTCTGGGCACCCCAAATGCCTCTGCTTTATTTCTCATCCTTGTCTAGTTGGGGCTTCTCCCAGCCACTTAGACCCTGACTCGATTTGACGGCTGGAACCTATTTTGTGCGGGAACCACTGCCTGGTCAGCACCCTGTGAGAGGTCTGCTGGGAATCCTGAAGTCTGGCTCGGAAATGTCACACGTATCCCTCTTCCTCCTCAGTCTAGGGTGAAGGGTGTGAGGCTGCCCTGGAGAGGAACAAAGCAGCCCTGGGTTCATGTCTAGGAGGGAGGGAAGAGGTGGCAGGAGGGGTTAGGACATGGGGAAGGCTGTCTGCCTCTTCCCCAGTCCTCATCCTCAAGTGCTAACATCTAGCCCAAGTGCCTGGGGCAGGAAGAACTGCCTGGGGTTGCAGGGCTGAGGTCTCGGGAATGATTGCCTTCATACCAAAGCTGGAGGGGGTATAGGGACCATCTCAGTCCAGAGGACCTCCTTGTCTAGCAAGAATCTTCACTGAGCTGAAGTCAGAGTCCTGTAACCTCCCTCCCAAGAAAACAAGGGGAAACCAGGATCCCCTTCCCACAGACAAAAAGTAAGTAGGTAAGGGTGGGAGAAAAATGAACAAAACTGGCTTCTGTCTCCTCCTGAGTCTCTGTTATTGCATATTCAGAGAAGAGATCCCTGTGTGCAGAGGGTGAGAAGGTGGTTGGACTATTGCCTCTTTAGGCAGAAGCACTCTCCCCAGTCCTGCTTGAACTGGAAATACATGTATTTCCCATGTTCCTAAAAATGGGACAAAGGATTCTGTACTCTTTGACCCCAATGGGGACAGGGTAGGGAGGAAACTCTTGCAAAAGGATATTTTTGCCTCCTGTTTGGGGTGTATTCACCTCTAGAACAGTCACCCTCTGGATGGGGTGAAAATACACCATTGGAGTGGGGGGAAGTATTAGTGACCCATGGATGGCACAGACATTTGCTGATAAGGCACAAAGGCACCCCCCAGGAAATGTCAATATCCTCATGCTTCTAGGTATCCTGGGTGGCACTGGGAGAAGGAGACTGCTGCCAGCAGTGAGGCTGCCCTTGTAGCTCCAGGTCTTGGCTCCCCTTGCCTCTGAAGAGGGTCAGCATAGGGAGAGGAGCCTGATATGCTGGTAACTTAGGCTGACTGCCTACAATTCCTGGCTGTCAATACTGCCCAGGAGTGGGGCCACTCTGCTATTCCACCTCTCTAATGATAGGCTGTTCTCTACAAATTGACCTTGGGGAATTCTTAACACTTCCACAAATAAGTTACTAGCCTCCACCTGGAGTCCCCCCCCCCCCCAACAAGGATGAGGCTGACTTGCAAACATGGTGGAGAGTGGCTGCATTAGGGTCTGTTCCTCAGAGTTCTGGATGCACATTTTGCCTGAGAAACCACTGGAGCTAGCCTGTCCTACAAGAGGAGCATGCACAAGTGTGACTCCTGGCCTACACTGGGCTGGAAGAGACCTACCTTCTGAGGAGGAGATGGTGAGGAAAGAAGGAACATGATCCTTCTGAGGTCTCCCTACCATGGAGCCAACTCAGCTGCTCCCTCACTCCAAATGAAACCTGGCAGTGGTTACAAGAGAGGGCTGTCATTCCATGTCCTCTGGTTGGGTGGGTTCAATTGAGGATGTGGCAAAGACAGGAGTGGCCCTGCAGTGATGCTGGGCTGTGGTTGGGGACAGTGATGGATTATTCAGAGCATCTGTCTTCATATTTCTGCTCTGCTCAGTGTCCTACTTTCTTCATGGACTCCTTCCCTTCAGGAAGTCTGCAATGGGCCTTTGGTATGAAGCAGGCTCCAGTAAGAGGGCCAAGTCCTGGTTCGACAAGGAGGATTTGATCCTTCAGGGAAGAACATCTCCAAAAGTACTCTCCATCCGGTCTCCTCTTCTACCCAGTTCTGCTAGGAAAGGAGCACTTAGGTCTTGGGATTGCAGGTCCCAGTAAATGCCAGCATTCTGTGTGGCTGAGGCAGAACCTAGAAGAGCTTCAGGGAGAGCATCCGAATCACTCCTCTCATGGAATCACTGCTGGTTGGAGCACTGAGGTCAGCCAGCTCTCCCAGAGGCCTGACTCCCACACCAGGGAAGCATGCCTAAGCTCTTCTTCACTGCCAGCCTTGAGGAGAGCAGAAGCCTCCGTTTTTAAAGACAGTAGAGCCCACTAAGGGCACTTCTTTGGAAATGAAATGTAGCACAATCCTAGACTGCGATACCAGGAGCCCTGACATGCATCTTGGGGCTGTACTCCAGGCCCTGCTGCCCAGGAGATGTGGAGCTCCTCTTCCCCGGGACCCTAGGGCTCCTAATACCTCATGTTCCCCTTTGCCCTTGGCCCAGAAAGCAGCAGGGCTTTGGTAAGGCTGCTCTTCTGTGATTCCCTGATTGCTTCTAGCACTGTGCAAACTCTGCAAGAAATTGCTGCCTTTGCCTGAGGTAGATGAACTGCTTTTCTCACCAGGGTGGCAAGAGGTTTGGCCCTTTATTCAGGGCAGAAGGTTGTTGGGTAGTATTTCTTCAGTGGCTGCAGGGAGGTGGAAAAGAAGAGGCCTGCTTCCCTGCCTCCTTTTTCTTCCTCTCCTCAGAGGTGACTTCTCCAATGTCCTGACAGGTAGAGAGATTCTTTAAAATGCTGCTTCCTCTGCTGGACTGTCTTTCACAGGATGATCAGGGAGGAGATGGAAATGCAGACTCATCCCCTGCTTTCTCCCTCCAGTCTGCTTCTCACCCAGGTCAGAAGAGACTGGGACAAAACAAAATAATCATGCTGGAAGAGCAGGGGAGCCACCAATCAGGTGTGCCCTGATGGTAGCTGGATTGGCCTGGTACAGCTTGGAAAGGTTTATTTTGAAAGAGTGCCTGAGCATCTCAGAGCAATGTCAGTGATGCCAAAGAGAGCAACTTGGCCTCCTTGGGCACCAACTCTGTTGGTGGAGCTGCACAGATGCAGCTCAGATGTTGGCATGCCCAAGCATGGGACCTTGTTCTCTGACAAAGGGCTTAATCTTTCCATGTAGCAAAGCAACTCCCCCTCCCCCCAACCCCAAGCTTGGGCTTCTGCAGGCCCAGGATGGCTGTGCCTGTGAAGGAAGCCACATCAGCGAGAGGAACTTGCATTTTCCAGGGTCCTAGAATGGCTTGGGGCAGGTGCTTGTTGAAAAGCATGAATGTTATTGCTTCAGAGAAAACTTTCAGGGCTCTGGCTGGAAACCTAGCCAGCAAGGACAGGGCCTTGGGCCCGGCCCCCCCCCCCACCCCAAGGAGTTTGCATCATACCAGGAAGGGTCCCTGAGGTTGGGTTCCAGACCACTTGGCTAACAGAAACAGGGCCTTGGAATTCTAGAGACAACTGTACTTTTCCTCTATTAGCCAATGACCTGGACAGGGACAGCTGCTCTACACCATTTTGCCAGAAGCTGTGAACCTTGTTTGAGACTCCTCACTTCTCTGGACCTCAGCTTCCTCATCTGCAAAATCAGAGCCTCAGCTAGTTGGAGCTAGCTGTGGAGGGTTGCAAGCCTGGTGCACCTGGTTTCATCCAGCCCCTGGTGCCCAAGCTGGGCACAGTCCTGATCCTGTCCATGCCCAGATGCTGCTTCTGACAAGAACTCTGGGAACCCTAACACACTCTGCTTTCACCTCTTTGTGGTTTGCGCTCCCTCCTTTACTCTTGTATCATGATGAAATATATTTAAGGGTTGTCTACAACGGAGTTTTCAAGGGGCTGGTGTGATGTCACCACTTCAGTTGCATCCTGAATAAGTCAGTGTCCCCATGAGCAGGTGAGGCTGGGTCACCCTCACTTCTGCTTCTAAAAGATATCAGTGGGGAGAGCTGAAGACCTCAGAGTTTTAAAGAAATACTCTTGGATGGGAGGAGAGAAGGAACTTATTTCCCTTCTATTTTGCTTTTTAAAACCACTCCTCCCTCCAAGATGTCTTTTACCAGACATCATCTCAGAAAGCAGAGTGGCTATTTCCTTAGGGAAAGGGCCAAGAGTTCTCTCAACTCCTTTAGCATTTAAACTCACAGAAGGCAGGAACCCCTTTTTTAGAATCTCCAAATGCACCCTGCAAAGAGAGAGAGCTGTTAGGGACTGACAAGCACACTGTTTAGATAAGAAGCAATTTGCCTTTTATATCCGTGCTCTATACATTTTCTATGTGCAGCATCTTTCCAAACGTGTGGTTCCTGGGTGGCAGGTGGACAGCTGGGAGGGACTGCCGGCTGTTTTGTACGATTTTCTTGCCAATTCTCTCGAGGAAAAAAATTCTTCACATGGCTTCTGCATGTACAGTATTTGGGCAGCAAAAAAAAAAAAAAATTATTAAAGTCCATTTGAAATTGGCCTTGTGTTGCATTTTTGGAAGCAATTCTTAATTCTAGGAGGAAGAAAACAGGGTTCCAGGTGACTAAAAAGAGAAGAGGAGTAAGACATTGCTTGAGAGGCAGAAGAGTGCCTCAGTGCATCTCAGAAAAAAGCATGGAAGATATAACCTGGGCTCTGACCCCTGGCTGGGGGGGGGGTCTCTGTTGGGCTATGGAGTTAGACTGGTTCAGACAGCTTCCCAGCTGTCTTCTAGGGTCCCTACTTACTGACCTTCAAAACTTTCTGTTCCACATACTCCACAAGGGATGTCCAAATAGAGGGTAAGATAAAATGGGGCAAAAGATCTGCTCAGGCATGTGGCTGGGTCAGTCTCGCCAACTTCAGCCATACCTGGGACAAGCAGTTAGCCTCTAGTGCTGTGAACTACATCTACAACTGACCCCTGCAGCACCCCTTGCCTTCTTCTCAGAGGGACAGAAAGGTGTGTTAATATTTGGTCACTTCTAGGCAGATCCATTGTTGTCTTAGGGGTGGGACTGGTGAGTACAGAAGAAGGATGAAGGAAGTGTATCACTGTCATAGCTAGTGCTGGCCAGCATCCTTCATCCCCGAAGCCCTCCAGGGTGATCTCAACTGTGTTGTCTCTGGCCTTTGGCCTTGCGGTGTCCATGGGTATCATCTCTTGAGGGACAGCTCAGGAGACCAATATATGAACTCTGGCAATCCCTAGGATTATGGTTTTTACTTCTTACCTCTCAAAGGACAAAGGGGCAGACAATGAAAACTGAGATCCAAAGAATGAAATTCTAAAGGATGTTCTTCAGACAGAAGGAACATAGTACATGCCTTAGGGTTATTGGAGGATTAAGGTGAGGTAGTGTGTTTAACTCACTGTCCTATGCTCAGAGAACATAAGGAACATGGTAAATGTCATATGTCAGCATTAAGGAAGATGATCATGGATGGAAAAGCTAAGAGGCAAGACGGAAGTGAGCAAAGAAATAGATTAAAAACATTACTAGGGCCAGGCGCGGTAATTATACACACCTGTACTTCCAGCAGCTTGGGAGGCTGAGGCAGGAGGATCATGAGTTCAAAGCCAGCCTCAGCACTGGTGAGGCCCTAAGCAACTCAGTGAAACCCTGTCTCTAAATAAAATACAAAATAGGGATGGGGATGTTGCTCTGTGTTTGAGTGCTCCTGAGTTCAATCCCCAGTACCCAAAGAAAAAAAATTACTATGCATTAACATAGATTATAAAATTATAATGTTGAATCTGTAAAATTAAATATAATAGCACATAAACTGGTTCTTTTTAAAACTTTGTTTTAGTTGTAAATAGACACAATACCTTTATTATTTATATTTTATGTGGTGCTGAAGATCAAACCCAGTGCCTCACATGTACTAGGCAAGTGCTCTACCACTGAGCTACAACCTCAGCCCATAAATTGGTTCTTGGAATGTTCTTGAGGAGGGTGAAGATACTGAATAACTTCAATCTTAATTATACATTTTAAAAATCTCTGAAGTAAAAAAAATAGAGTCTAGAAGAATTCAGTCTAGAACTGAATTCTAACAGTGTATTGAAAATACCTCATAATTAAGTATTTGTTTATCTCAGTGATGCAAGGATGGTTATTATCAGATGAGTTTATCATCATAATTCACCACATTAATAGACTGAAGTAGAAAATTTGTTTATCCTAATGCAGAAAAGACGTTTTATAAGGTTTAATTCTTCTCATAATAAAAAATCCTAGTGAACAGGAGCTGAGCTGTGGCTCTGTGGTATAGCACTTGCCTAAGTGAGGCACTGGATTCGATTCTCAGCACCACATACAAATAAATGAACTAAATAAAGACCCATCAACATCCAAAATATATATATGAAAAAAAAAGTGAACAAAAGGTAAATTTCTTAATTTGATAAAAGTCATTCTAAAAAACCTACAGCAAATATTGTGGGAAAACACATTCTCTTTAAGATCAATACAAGGAGGCCCACTATCACTGCTATCATTTCAGATAGTTTTGAAAATCTTTATAATGCCATAAAGAAGAAATAAGAGACATAAGGATTAAAAGAGAAGAGAGAAAATTTACTTGTAGATAATTTATTTACCTATTTTTTTAAAAAAGCATCAATTATTAGAACTAATAAGATCATTCAGCAAGGTTGCTGGATAATAAGATCAACCTACAAAAACCAGCTGCATTTTTCTACAGAAGCTAAAACCAACAAATAATAACAAAATATTATTCACAATAGCAATAAGACTCATTAAATATTTCTGGGTATCATGGCACATGCCTGTAATCCCAGTAATTTGGGAGGCTGAGGTGGAAGGATCCCAAATTCCAGGCTAGACTCAGCAACTTAGTGAGATTCCATCTAAAATAAAAAGGGTTGGGGATGTAGCATAGTGAAAAAGGGCTCCTAGTTCAATCCCCATAACACCCCCCCCCCCCGCCACCAAAAAAAATCCCTAAGTATCTGGGGATTATTTGAGAGTATATAAGACCTTTTGGAGAAAACTTAGAAATGCTAGGAAAACAGCTAATCTGAATAAATTGAGCAACATTCCTATTCTTGGATGAGAAGGTTCAATATAAAGAGAGTAATTTCCCCCAATCTATAAATTCAATGTAATTTAATCAAAATTTCAGTTGGCATTTTAAACAAAACTTACTCTCCAATTTAGATGAAGCAATGCAAGTCCCTGAATTGTTCAATCAACTCTGTTTAAGAGAATGCCCAAATATTAACACATACATATCTGGGAAAACAATAGAAGACAAAGGAGCAACCTTAAAACAATGACAGATTATTTTAAATGTTAAAGAAGCTAGTTCACTATCAGGATTAAAAAAAAAAAGTATCCCTACCTAATCTGAGATACAAAGATAAGCCCTATGTGGTTTAATAGACCTACAATTGGAAGGTAAAATATAAAGTTGATAAAAGAAAATGTAAGAAAAATATTTTTGTGACTTAAGGACAAAGAAGAACTTGTAATGTTAATTATTAATGCGCAAATTAGCGCAATTATGAGACATCACTTTGTACCTATAATAGGCTGGCAAAAAATGAGAAAGTTGAATAATGTTAAATGATGATGGGTCATGATGATACAGAAACCTCAGAGAAGCTATTGAGAATGCAGCTCGAGGCAGTCATTGTGGACCACTCTGGTTCAATTATATGCAGATCTCCTGAGGGGCAGGCAAAGAGTAGCAGGGAAGAGTCAGAGAGGCAGGAACCTGATTGCAGGTGGAGAGGTGTAAGCCCGGAGGCATGGTGTCCATATCTGGAGGGCCACTGGAAACAACCCCACTATGGCAGGGGCAGCGGGGGAGACACTGGTGAATGGAATGGCACAGAGAAAAGTGTCAAGGCCTGCTCAACTGCAGGGTGAGTGCAAGACCTGAGGTGTACGAAGTCCTCACTGGGAGGACTAGGACTGTGTACTCAGGGGTACTGATGGGGACACCCAGCTGGGGCAGAATGATAATGGATGTCCATACACATGCATCTGGCAGCAGAGCAGTAGGAGGGGATAAAACAGGAGCACACTGGAACCAGGATGAGGAGTTCCTTCCACCTGCAATGTCCCCCTGCCACCATCTACTGACAAAGTTCAATGTTGTGCTCACTGAAAGGACAGCTTAAAAGGAGCAAGTTAGGAGTTAAGAGGCAACATATGGATAATCGTCATATCTACCTACGAGTGCAATGGAAAAACAGTTTGTGTCATATTAGTTTATGGGGTACTACTCAGCACTACTGATAATATGCATAGCACAGATGATAAGGGGGTGGTGGGGAGCAACCTGCCTAAGGAAAAGGAACTTGCTGAACATCCCACCAGCTTCTGAAAAGTGGGAGGCACTGTGGATGGATGTGTAATAGCAATACTATAGTAGTAATAAATATAAGAACAAGTTGTAAAGAGGCTGCAGAAGAAGTCTGCCAAGTGGCTCCATTAAAATAACCCTAACATGACCCTGGGCCATTAGCTAATGCTTGCTGTGTCAGTGGTAAAATGGGGAGTCTACAGTCTCAATTTGTGTGTGTGTGCGCTCGCACGTGCACGTGCACATATCAAAACTCCATAGACGGATAAAAGAACACCACAAGGACAGGAGAATCTGCAAAACATAAACTAGTTATAAAAATTTTTGCCTCAACAAAACCAAAATTCCTCTTGTGGGTTTGATAAAATCACTTCCCACACTTGGTCTCAGGCATGTCCATGGCCCAGAGGGATCTTACTGAACTGACCTTATGAATACATATGATGAATGATTTCAATCCCAGGGAGGACACGTATTTGTAAGTGTGGAAGTTTAGATTGGAGCAACCTATTTAACCCAATACTTCCCATACTGGGTACCAATTTGACAGAGCTCTCACATGGTATTAAAAGTGAACATGTGAAAGACAGTCCATGGAGGTGGAGAGTTTGAGGCAGTCTAGGTTCCCTCTGTCCCTGGGGAAATGGATGCATGTAACAGAGGTAAGTACAATATGGAGTACATACAGTGCAAAAGTTAGAAATGCAGATGATGTATACATGCAGAGATGGATCTTAAAAATAGAGAGTAGGGGAACTGGGGCTACAGCTCAATTGGTAGAGTGCTTGCCTTGAATGCACAAGGCCCTGGGTTCAATCCCCAGCACCACACACACACACACACACACAAAAAAAAAGTTGCTAGGGGAAAAGGCTAATAAAGTCTCGAGCATGATATGTACAAAATTTAAAAATATAATCCACAAAATAAGAGCCACATATTTTACAAGAATATCTATGTGCACATAGAAAAATGTGTTCAGAGGTCTTTTTATTTTTCCTTTTTTTTTTTTTTTTGTTAATGAGGATTGAACCCAGAGCTGCTTTACCACATCCTCAGTCCTTTTTATTATTTTTTATTTTGAGATGGGGTCTCATTAAATTGCTTAGCGCCTCAATCAGTTGCTGAGTCTGAACTTGAACTTGCAGTCCTCCTGTCTCTTCAGAGGTGAGGACAAGTGGGAAAAGGGCTAAAAGTGAATAAATAGGGCTGGGGTTGTGGCTCAGTGGTAGAGCACTTGCCTAGTGTGTGTGAAGCTGATTCAATTCTTACACTGCGTATAAATAAATAAAATAAAGGTCCATCGACAACTAAAAAAAATTTTTTTTAAAAAGTGAATAAGTAAATAAAACAAGAGTGAGACCCGGCACAGGCCAATGATAAAATCAGGATATGAACTAAGAATGGTTAGCTTGGACCTTTGTTCCTGAGCTTAATCTTGTTCCAAGATTAAGTGTATGCTATCACCAAATGGAGTTCAACTGATAAATATGAAATAGAACTAAACTGAGAGATCCAAATCAAGTTGTTGGTATTGTATCAAAAGGAAGGGAAAACAAAACATCTTAGGAGCATTGCACTCACACCATCAGGCTAAAGCTGCCTCATATGTCCATGCTGATCTCTCTGCAAGGTTATAGTAACCTGTATGTGCATACACTGTGTCCTATTGTGTCTGTATGTCAGAACATGTGACTTAACAATTGTGATTATTAGAGATAATCAGAATTCACTTGGCATTTTTCCTAAACTTTCCTCCCTAATGGAGTATCTTATGTAAAAATAATCCTGGGGAAGGAGGAAGGAATGCACTGGATTGAGCCAGCCGGAGAATTAACGTCTAGGTACTGGCTGAGAACGCAATCTTGGGAAAGAGACCCTTACCTGAGGGAGGTGCTCCTCCAGGTTGTATTACTGCTAGTCACCATTCAGTGTCCCCCATGTCCACCAGGTCACTAGGATGCTGGATACCACAATCCCAGAAGCTCTGGGAGAAGCCAGGTCCCCTCTTGGTAGGGATCTGGGGCCTCCACATGGAGTATGGGTATCATCAGGCCTGATGAGGGCAGGCTGGGGCAGATGTTCCAGCAGAAGCAAGGGGTATCTATCTGGGTCCAAGGCCCATACATCGGGGGAAGGAAGGGTGAAGAGGAGGGGCAGAGATAAAGGGAGAAGCATGGGAGAAGAGGGGAGCAAGTCAGAAGGGACGGCGAATAGAAGGGAGAGGGAGAGGAGGAAGGTAGGTGACAGGAGGAGGACAGGCCAGGGTAGAGGTGACCCATGCAGGGAGATGGGATGAGGAAAGATTGGTAAGAGGAGGGAGATGGTTTGGGAAGGAGATGGGAAGAGAACTAGTTTGATCTAAGTGACTGCTGATGGAGGAAGTCACAGGGCGATGAGACAGAGAAGTCATAGGGATAAGAGGCAAGAGAGGAGGAAGGGAGGGAGCTGAAGACCCAGCTAGTGCAGGGGTAGATGGGGGATAAAGAGGAGGCTGAGCAGGAACGAGGCAGGGCAGCTTCTTCTGCATGACTTTCAGTTGAGAAATGAAGGTCTATATGGTGGGTTCAGTGTTCTGCATTCTTTCTTTGCTTGATTCCATTGTGACTCAGATTCTGTTAAGAAAGTTTAAGATTCTAGGGCACTTTGGGAAGCAAGACACCTTTGACAACCCCAAATACAGCTTTCTTCATCTTACAAATTAAGAATTAAAAGCGTAACGAGGTGTCCAAAGTCACCTGACAGTTTGTTAGAGGTGCAGTTTGAATGGAACCCAATGTAGAGTACATAAAAACAATCCCAGGCTGACTGGCAGTGGGTCAATGGTACAGAGCTCTCCAGGGGGTGGAGGGGAACCCTCTGACCATCAGGGCCAGTCTAGACAGACAGAGGGGAAGTGGTTACTCTCCTTACATCCTTTAAGGAATCCTGGAAGGCACCTTACATCCCTGGTTAGTCACTAGTCACTGCCACAGCAACTAAACCTGCAGTGAGCCCCTTGTTTCCCCACTGTGAGAAACTCCACTGCACATTTCCTAGGAAAGAGACTGAACATGAAGAAAACCCTAAAAGGTGATTTCATAGGAGTATAGAGTAGAATAATAGTCACCAGAGATTAGAAAGGAGAAGAGAGGCAAAGGAGGGAGGTTGGATAGTGGCTACCAAAAACACAGGAGGAATAAGTTCTAGTATTTTCAGCACAGTGGGGTGACTATAGTTTACAATAATTTAGTATCTTTTATAAAGAACCACAGGAGAGGAGTTTGAAGTTTTCCAACATAAATAAACAATTAGTATTTAGAAAGATGGAAGTGTTAATTATGCTGATTTTATCAGTATACATTATATCAAATTTTCACATAATACGCCATAAACACAATTATTTTATGCCAAATAAAAATATGAAGAAAGAAATAAAGAAAAGAAAAAAAAAAAACTAAACACTAGCATGGAAACCTAGGGAAGGTTTTGGAGCAGGAGAATGGGTCAAGGAGAGTTTAGAATCTCCCTCTATTTGTTGTGTTAGGCTTCCACATTAGAAACTCACAGAGCAGAGGGGCTGGGGTTGTGGCTCAGTGGTAGACTGCTCGCCTCGCATGTGCGATCCTCAGCATCACATAAAAACATAAACAAGTGAAATAAAGGTGTTGTGTCCAATTACAACTAAAAAAATAAATATTAAAAAATACTTTTAAAAAGAAACTCACAGAGCAGAGATGTTTCCTCCATTTTAGGGAGCTCAGTGCTAATAGGGGAAGCCCAGGGTGCCATGGAAAACATGGGAGGGTGCCCATGCTAGACTTGGTGGTGCAGGGAAGAGAGAAAGAGACTTCTTGGGGGACTTCTAAAAGAAGAATGGGAGCTAAAGAGATGGAGTTGTTATGGCGGTGACATCCAGGGAAAAGAAACAACACTGAAGATGACTCAGTGGCAAGTGAGAGCAATGGAGGCTTAACTGAATTTCCAAATTCATTATGAGGGGTGTTTTAGGAAGTTTCTGGCAATAGATATAGCTATCTATAAACCAGTCCTTGGTTTATACCAAAAGGATTTAAAATCAGCATACTACAGTGACACAGCCACAGCTATGTTTTTAGCTGCCCAACTCACAGTAGCTAAAGTATGGAACCAACCTAAGTGTCCTTCAACAGATGAATGGATAAAGAAAATGTGGTATAGGGCTGGAGTTGTGGCTCAGCGATAGAGTACTTGCCTGGCATGTGTGACCCTGGGTTCAATCCTCAGTAACACATATAAATGAATAAATAAAATAAAAGATCCATTGACAATTTAAAAACATTTTATAAAAGAAAATGTGGTGTGTGTGTGTGTGTGTATAATGGAATATTACTTAGCCTTACTAAGAATGATATTATGGCATTTGCCAGTAAATGGATGAAGCTGGAGAATACCAAGCTAAGTGAAATAAGCCAATCCCAAAAAACCAAAGGCCAAATGTTTTCTCTGTTATGCAGATGCTAATTCACAATGGAGCGAAATGGGGTGGCACTAGGGAAGAACAGAGTTACTTTGGAATAGACAGGTAGAGGGGAGTGAAGGGAGGGGAAGTTTAGAGGGTAGGAAAGATAATAGAATGAACCTGACATTATTGCCCTATGTACTGACACGACACAGGACTAAACCAGTCAGGGTCACTCTAGGAGAACTGGGTTGATCCAAAATAATGACACACAGACAGAGAAATACCTTTTTCTTTGGGTTCTGTGATGGCCCCTCTGAGCCAGCTCCCACAACGGAGGCAAGGCAGGCAAGAAAAGAGAGAGAGCATGCCTAGAACCTGGTTTTATTGGAGAGAAGCCATCCAAATGAGGCCAGGAGTCAGGTTTCAGGGGGTTGAATCTAGCTTCAAGGTGTCTAGCAGGTCAGCAGGTTGACTGACATCTTGGAAGGCCATGCCCATCTCATGTGCTGTGTGGGGATCAAAGGCAGGGCAAGCCAAAGGGACACAACGCTCACAGCCCAGACAGAGCAGCACCATCAGTCCAGTCTGCTTTGTGCACTCAAAATGCTCACACACACAGCCCATAGCTGGTTCGCCACACACACAAGCTCCAGTCCAGAGTGGCTCCCGACAATGTACATATGTGACTACATGACTAGTGTGATTCTACATCATGTACAACCAGAAGAATGAGAAATTATATTCCATTTATGTATGATGTCAGAGTGCATTCCACTGTCGTGTATAACTAATTAAAACAAATTTTAAAAATTACAAAAAAAGAAGAAAAACAGGATTTGACTTTATATTTAAAAAAAATAAATTGGAATTCATGTAAAAATTTTTGTGCATCAAAAGGCACTACTATCAATAGGGGCTGGGATTGTGGCTCAGTGGTAGAGCGCTTGCCTAGCATGTGTGAGGGTTCGATTCTCAGCACCACATACAAATAAATAAAATAAAGATCCATGGACAACTAAACAATATTTAAAAAATACTTTTTTTAAAAAAAAAAAAGGCACTATCAATAAAAAGGCAACCCATGGGATAAAAGAATATATTTGCAAGTCATATATCTGATAAGGGATTAATATCCACATTATATAGGGAACTCCTAAAACCCCACAATAACAGTAATCTAATTTAAAAATGGGCAAAATATTTAAATAGGAGCTTCTCTGAAGAAGTTATATAAGTGACTAATAAGCAGATAAAAATGTGCTCAACATCAGTAATATTTAGGAATATGCAAATCAAAACTAGAATGTTCGGGGCATGGTGGTGCATGCCTATAATCCCAGCAGCTTGGAAGGCTGAGACAGGAGGATAGTTGAGTTTAGAGCCAGCCTCTGCAATTTAGCGAGGCTCTAAGCAACTCAGTGAGACCCTGTCTCTAAAATTCAAAAAAGGCCTAGGGATATGGTTCAGTGGTTTAGTGCCCTAGAGTTCAATCCCCGGTACCAAAAAAACAAACCTACAATGAGATAGTAACTCACTCCCATTAGAATGGGTACCATTAAAAATTGGAAAATAAAGCCAGATGCCAAGGTGCAGACCTATAGTGCCAGTTACTCTGGAGGATGAGGCAGGAAGATCACAAGTCTGAGGCCAGACTTGGCAACTTAGCAAGATCCTGTCTCAAAAAAAATTAAAAATGGCTGAGGATATAGTTGAGCAATAAAGCACCCCTGAGTTCAATCCTCAGTACCACAAAAAACAATAATAATAGTACAAGTAACATGCTAATGTATTCGTTTTTTACATTGCATCTGATTATTGCTTAACAGAGATTCTTAGCTAAGAAATTTCTGAGTCAATCAGCATAAATATTTTGAAGACTTTGGATACTTTTTCCAAGCTGTATTCTGGAAAGGATGCTGGCAGAGAATGCAGAGGAAATGTAACTCACTGAAACACATTTATAAGAAAACAAGAGAGACTAAAATAATAAGCTCTAAACACGCAACTCAAGGAGACAGGAAAGTATGACAAATATAAAAGAAGTAGTAAGTTATAATAAAGATCTAAAAATTAAAATAAAAATAACATCTAGAAAGAAGCACAATGTCCTAATTAGGAATAACATAAACAAATTCATAGATACATGGCAGGACACTTTTCTGCTTTTGAGGGTTTTGCAAAATAAAGATAAGAGAATAATCTTTTTTTTTTTTTTGCTTTGTTTTTGTAAGGGATAATCTTAAAACTGGTCATACAGAAAAGACAGACTATTAATAGGGCTAATAACAGACTCTTTTTCATTTTTTTGGTGCTGTACATTAAAACCAGGGCCCCCTCACTTGTTAAGCATGCTTTTTATCACTGAACTATACCCCAACCCCTAGATTTTTCAAAAGCAGCATTTAGAGGCTAAGGAATCACTGAGGAAAAATAAATCTGAATTTAGAATTCTATACCCAGTTATAACACAAGAGTAAAGGAGAGAGACAAGCCTCATGCAGTAGTGCATGCCTGTAACTGTAATCCCAGCGGCTCAGGAGACAGAGGCAGGAGGATTGTGAGTTCAAAGCCAGCCTCCGCAATAGTGAGATGCTAAACAACTCAGTGAGACCCTGTCTCTAAATAAAATACAAATTAGGCCTGGGGATGTGGCTCAGTGGTTCAGGGCCCCAAGTTCAATCCCCAGTACCAAAAAAAAAAAAAAAAAAAGAAGAAGAAAGAAAAGAAAAGAAATACAGAAATAAAGAATTTATTACTCTCAGACTTGTTGAAAAATTTTTAAGTATTTATAAAAAATTTTAAAAAATTTTTTGTTATACATGGACACGATATCTTTATTTTGTTTATTATTTATTTTTATGTGGTGCTGAGGCTCGAACCCAGTGCCTCACATGTACGAGACAAGTGCTCTGCGACTGAGCCACAACCCCAGTCGGGATAATTTATTTTATTTATACGCAAAATACTTTTATAAGGCTTACTGTGTACCAGGCCCTATTTTATATATATTTATTCATTTGATCCTTTTTGTTGCTGTTTGTTTGGGGTTTTGTTTTGTTTTTGTTTGTTTGTTTGATTTTTTTTGATCCATAATAACCTAATGAAGTAAATAATATGATTGTCCCTCTTTCACAAATGGAGAAACCAAGACACAAAGAAATGAATTAATCTGCTCAAGGGCACACATAGAGG